CGAGTTTTGGGTGCAGGAGAGCTGCACCTTGAGCTGACAGGAACTGTTGTCACTGTAGTAGTGCAGCTGATTGACAGGTCGAGTTATGGAAGTGAAGTCCCTTAAAACTAACTTAACAAGATCAGCAGTCCAAAAGACAGATGGAGACAGTATACTCTTTCTGTCTTTTTGCTGGACCTGGTTTAGCTACAATGATTGGCAAACTGCATGTAGCGAGGCTAATGCTTTATTCTGCTGCATTGACTGCCTGCCTCTTTTTTCAAACCTCAGGATCTGACCCAGCATGGATAAAGACAGGTAGGACTGATTTAATGCACTTTTTTGAAAAGGCAAAGAAGCATGAATAATCTGGAATTCACATGGAAAATAATATAGTGTTCTTTTTCTAGATGTTAGTTCATTTGCATAGTTGCTCTTAAATAAACACATTCTCAGAAAAAGATATTGTTTTTATATATTAGAAAAATATAAAGCGGAATAATAGCTTCTCCGTTATTAAACTGGTACATTATATTTGTTTGTCTGGACACAATATTGGAAAATGCAAAACACAGATTTGCCTTCACAAAGCCTCAGAAGGGCAAGATTTATTTACAAAACTTAAACCTGTACATTAAATTAGTTTTTGTAATAAACGGTTTTAATAATGCTTTTTGTTTTTGGCACTTATATAAATATACTGAGGTGGTGGTTAGGCTTTGGATGAGTACTACTCATCCAGAGCCTACTCACTGAGTAGAGAGGTGAGTAGAGCTAAAGTGTTGACAGCCCTGCTGGAGAGAATTTCAGTCTGTATTTAAGCTGCTACATGTTTGGGGTGTTTGATCACATTAGGGACCATTTTTCCTCATTCTGCTTCATTCTATCTGTATTCTCCCATTCTGCACTATCTGTTAAGTTCCACTAGCAACTGTATGTTCGCTCTGCTTTTCATGTCACAGTAGCTCCATCTGGTCTGTTCCTGTTCAGCTGTCTCTCCATCCTGGGTTGAAATATCAGCTGTGCTGCTGCCATCAACATCTCTGTTTATACATATAGGACATTAACCTGTTTCAAGTGTAGCCCTGTTTCTTTTACTTTCATTAACTGTATGTACTCTCTTTCATCCTCTGACAAGTGGCTTGGAGCTTGTCTGCCTGGCCGTGTCTGTGTGGAGCTAGTTAACAGTTACCCTTTTGCTTCTCTGCTTCTTTCTGTATGTTTGCTTCTATCTCCTTGAACCCCAGTCGGGCTCGACAGATGGCTGCTCAGACTTAGCCTGGTTAAAAGGGAGTTTTTCCTTTACACTTTTGCTACACGCATGCTGTGAGGGATTGCTGAGAGTCAACAACAAAATGCATAAAAAATTGTCAAAGAGCTGAGCCTAAAAGTAAAGCTTACAATTATATTGGTCATTCTACTATGTGAGTCTTACCTATGGTGATTAGATGTGGTTCAGGAAGGAAAGAATGAGATCATCGATAAAAGTGATGGACATGTTTCCTTTGAAGGGTAGTGAACTCAGCCTAAAAGTAGAGCCCCTGTTTCTCTGCATCAAAAAGAATCAGTCAGAGGTTAGAGATGGTGTGAGCATTTAATCAGGATGCCCTTTTATGCCTCCATTTGGAGGCTTGCAAGGCAGTCCCACAGAAATAACTTGAATCAGAAAAAATTATTAATAAATTAATATTCTATGGAGATGAACAAATGAATGTCAGACATTGCTTTTCCTCAATGTTTTAAGGAATGATAAAAAAAGAACAAACCCATTAAACAGGTCTTGATAATAATTAAGGTACCCCAAGAAAAGACTGAAAATATTAACAGTAAAATTTAATGTTAAAGCTTTCTGTGTACACTGATTAGCATCAAAGGTGTCTGCAAAATCAGTGACTGTAGTAATTAAAGTAAAGCTTTCTAGACTTTTTAATTTTTTTAAAGAGCAGCCTTGATAAAGGTAAGCAGCAGTGATAAAAAATAATATAGGGCTACAAGTATTCACTGTGCTGTTTTATGACATGGTGTGCCACACTCAACATGGCCATAGGAAGCAAAGGAAAGGGTTGTCTCCGGAGATTAGGAAATAAATCATAAACAAGTATGTTAAAGGTAAAAAGCTAAAAGACCATCTCCAACCAAATTCTTGTTCCTGGGACAACAGCTGCACATACGATACAGAAATTTTAGATCCATGGGACTGTAGCCAAGCTCTGTGGACATTGCTGCAGGAAGGGAACTAACGAAAATTCAAAGAGACAAATAATATGCATGGTTACAAAAAAGCCTAGAAAAACATTTAAAGAGATCCAATGTGAACCTCAAGCTCTGTGTCTGTCAGATCGCACCATCCATCGTTGTTTGAGCCAAATTGGGCTTAAAGGGAGATGACCAAGGAATGTTGAAAACAAATCACTAAATGGATTGGAATTTCTCAAACTACATGTTGATAAGCTTCAAAGATTCTAGCTGAATGTCCTATGGGCAGATGAGAAAAGAACACTGTCTCTACTGTGAAACATGGAGGAGGCTCTGATATGTTCTGGGGCTGCTTTGCATCATCTGGTAAGAGTGTAGGAATCTCTGCAGGGTACAGTTATATCTAAAGACTATTAAAGGATTCTAGAGAGAAATGTATTGCCAGTATCAGAAAGGTTGGTCTCAATCACAGGTAAAAAGAATAATGACCCAAAACACACCAACAAAAACAGCCAAAAATGTCCAAGAGGAAAATATTGGATTATTGTTAATAAGCCTTCTATGAGCCCTGACCTAAATCCTACATGCCATCTGGTAAAGGCATAAAAAAACAACACTTGAGGAATAATTCCATTGCACCTGTTGCTCAAACAAACCAATCTTGGACATACAATAAAGGCCTCAGAGTGAAAAGCATAACAACAAGTTTCATTTTAGCTCTATTGCTAAACTATCTGTTTTTTAACAGTCGTAGCGAACCAATATATAACAAGGTGAGATATAAATCCTTTCCCTTATAGCCACAATTTAGATGCACAACAACATTATTCGGAATAACATTAACTTTCTTCCATGTTTGTCTTTAGCATTAGTGCTATCTCTGACCTAGCAAACTCTGGGTACCAACTTCAGAATTTTCTTCTGACACAGAAACATCAAAATCAACATTATAAGCATGATCCTTCTCTATAGCCTTAACACACAGCAAATGATGGCTATATTTGTGTTATAACTACATGTTTAGTTAATTTATTTTTTTTTAACCAAGAGAAAAAGCAGCCATTATTGCTAGAACTAATTGACCTGATTTAAATTTGAAGAGATTTCTGATGAAAAAGCCATTTTGAATCAAACTTAATATTTTACTGTAATATTGGATATTTATTTCCAGATATTCTAACTTAACAGGTTCAGTTTTCAAATGATTATGTTTTACCATCTGACTTGAATTTTTATTATAAATCAAGTGGAGTTTGAGTCTAAATATCCTACTAATGATACAAATGTACAGTGGTGGAAAATGTTTGAGGTTAAGACACACAGCTTTACATCACCATGTCACCAGGTGACTATGAACCAATTCAAGCACTGAGGAAATGCTTAGAAGAAATCAATGTCTGGATGTGTCATCATTTTCTTCAACTGAATAAAAACAAAACTGAAGTAATAATCTTTGGACCAATAGAGGAGAGATCTAAAGTTAGCACACAGCTTCAGT